TGTCTGTTCGTCCATCCATTCGTTCGTCAGTTACACTTTGGTTTACCTTTGCGTTTAAGATGATTTCCTAAAAAGTTTCAAGTCGAATCTTCATGAAATTTTGTACAAGTTACTCTTTATTTATCATGATATGGACTAACAACTGTGTAAAAATGGGGGAGTTCCATCGAAAATGGAAATAAGCGCCGAGCGGGACACCCCTGTCTTCAAGACATTTCCTTGTTGCCATCAGTCTATAGATCGTGTTCAAAGTATCTCATTAGGTAAATCCAGCTCTACATCCCCGGTGATTTTATAAAAGTTCTTGGGACTTGCTCAATATGAATATTGTGTTGGATTAGTGAAATCCTGAATGTTTGGTTGAAACTACTGTTCTGAAAAATCGAAAAGTTCAAGTCCTGTTTTGGTCTCAATATGGAAAAGAACGGATATGGGTTAATGGCAAGAAGACATCACATATTGATCATTAAATGCCACACAAAAATAAATCTAGAGCTGACGACACGAACTTCAATAGAGCAGGAACTTCCCACTTACAGACAGTCCGCATCTCTTGATGGCCTCAAACAAAACAAGAACAACCGAACCCAAGGGCACAGCAAAATATCTAATTTAAAACTAAAAGTTTAATCAGGAACATATATGTCCCTGTTTTAATAACACAAGAATCGACACAACAATGACTTAAATGGATTTTTTTTTAAAATATAAAAACGACTTCCGACCTCTATGTTGGAAAAAACGACCTGCGACCTGTACATTTCCCTTAAAAACGACCTCGCGACCTTGCGACGAATTTAAAAGCGACCTTGCGACCTGAGGGGGGTACCCTGTGGGAGCCCCCGGTATGGTTTTTGCTCATTGTTAACTTTGGTGTCTGGTGGATAGTTGTCACACTGGCAATCATACCACATCTCCTTATTTTTACAGTCTTTGTTAAGGTGACTATGCACGAGTACCTGTTTATTTAGAATACCATTCTGTTCACCAAGATTCTTCTTTATATCAAATTGGTTTGGTGGAAGATAAACAAGCATTCTAGAGCAAAAAAATTTGGACATAAACGTAATTTAAGTCTGTTTGGTTTAAAACAGAGATCAGAGCGAACTTCTTTCTTCTGATGTTTTTTCTCTACATAATTGACAACCTAGTGAGCAATTAAATATACACAACTTAATTGCATAACAAAATCAAAGTGTTTGTGAGCAGTGAAGGGTAAAGATGTATCATTCATTTTGCAGTTGAAACTAAAAATCATTAAACATTGCAATGTATTAAGCATTGGAAGGCATAACTATGAATTGGAGAACAACTACAAATATGTATAAAGGAAGATAAATCCAATTCTAAATATTACTTTAACAATGACATCATTGATATTTTAGACAAGATACTAGATTCATGCACCATGCACAATTTATGTAATTTTCTAGAAAAGTATGGTAATACACATACACATCATTTTGTAACTGGAGTATCTGAGTATATATTTCATTGATAAATTTCCTGAAATTTTCATAGGTAGAATGTATAGAAGAAGAAGATGTTTTATTTCCATTAAATGGGCTCACAAGGAGCATAATACAATATAAGACATTAATAAGACAATAACAAAAAGAAACAAAAATTGTCTAGTATACATACAAAGAAAAGAAAAAGAAGTTTGAATATCATGAACTACACACATATATAGATATATTTAAATATATGTTCAACAGTGTTTCCCTCCTTCTCAGGTACACCCCAACATGACAAAGTTCCTAAAATAAATTGGCCATGAATTGGATATTTAACTTAACTGCAAAAGCCACCATGGGACGGTGCTGCATGGCAAGGTGGGAGATAGACGCACATGGTATACATGAATGTAAATAGATAATTTGGTTATGATATTATGAGCAGATGCACAAACCTGGTATAAAATGTTGCCTCAATGCACATATGATGATTCAAATTTGTGTATATCAAAAGTAGTGATAAAATCTGTAAAATTGATAACTATCAAGCCAGCCACATAAGGATTTTGATTGCATGAATGCAATCTTTACTGCAAAATAAAACACATTTTAATATACAACATTACAAAAATATTTATTTGAATTAACTTGTTTGATTGATTGATTGATTGATTGTTGGTTGCTTAACATCACATGGCAAATATTTCATGCATGTTCAGGAGGAGAACAAATAAATAAATAATACTTAAAAAAAGATAGGTTCTGTAATAGTGTTCGATGAAGGGCGGATTATTTAAATTTTTATTTGAATTGAATTGTTTTGACTGAATACATACTCAACAATATGATTTAGTAAGTGTAATAAATGAACCAAAAAAGGAAATGAGAAATTGTCAGGAAATATTTTACCAGTAAATTTAATTAAATTATTGACAAGCTTTTGATCTGGAGACTGGGTAATAAGTGCTACAAAAGATTGAGTTTTACTGTGCGTTTTGCTGTGTGTTTGTTTATTCTACATTGGCTAGAGGTATAGGGGAGGGTTGCGATCTCACAAAACATGTTTAACCCCGACGCATTTTTGAGCCTGTCCCAAGTCAGAAACCTCTGGCCTTTGTTAGTCTTGTATGTATCTTTACTTATACATTATGTCAAGTTTCTTATGCAGATGTGGCAATTCAAATTATAGCATCGACAAAAATAAAATGCTCCGCTGGGGCGCAGCTTGATACGACCGCAGAGGTCGAACCCTGAACAGTTGGGGCAAGTATGGACACAACATTCAAGATTGATATAGCACTGAATTTGGATTGTGATTAAATATTTGACACAGCATAGGTTTCTGACACAGAATGAATGTGGTCTAAGAACTTAAAATTTTAAATTTACCTATTCAAACCATATCATTATTATTTGCTTTTATATATAAATCAGAAATAACCAATTTAAAATGGAAAATTTTAAAGAAAAAAAATGAAAAAAAATCCCCCCCCCAAATTTTTTGAACCCCCTTATGATTCATCAACCCCAAACTCAATCCCAGCCTTCCCTTTGTGGTATGGTACCTTGCAGTACAATTTCAGAGAGATCCATACACTTGAACACAAGTTATTGTCTGGAAACTAGAAAAATGCTTGTTTTTTGGCCCCTTTTTGGCCCCAAATTCCTAAACGTTTAGGGCAATTACCCCCAAACTCAAACCCAGCTTTCCCTTTGTGATATGGAACCTTGTAGTACAATTTCATAAAGATCCATACACTTACACACAAGTTATTGTCCTGAAACTAGAAAAATGATTGTTTTTTGGCCCCAAATTCCTAAACCTTTAGGGCAATTAACCCCAAACTCAAACCCAGCTTTCCCTTTGTGATATGGAACCTTGTAGTACAATTTCATAAAGATCCATACACTTACACACAAGTTATTGTCCTGAAACTAGAAAAATGATTGTTTTTTGGCCCCAAATTCCTAAACCTTTAGGGCAATTAACCCCAAACTCAAACCCAGCTTTCCCTTTGTGATATGGAACCTTGTAGTACAATTGCATAAAGATCCATACACTTACACACAAGTTATTGTCCTGAAACTAGAAAAATGCTTGTTTTTTTGCCCCTTTATGGCCCCTAATTACTAAAATTTTGAGGCAATTACCCCCAAAATCAATCCCAGCCTTCCCTTTATGGTATGGTACCTTGCAGTACAATTTCAGAGAGATCCATACAATTGAACACAAGTTATTGTCTGGAAACTAGAAAAATGCTTATTTTTGGCCCCTTTTTTTTAACGTTTTGGGTAATTACCCCCAAACTCAAACCCAGCTTTCCCTTTGTGATATGGAACCTTGTAGTACAATTTCATAAAGATCCATACACTTACACACAAGTTATTGTCATGAAACTAGAAAAATGCTTGTTTTTTGCCCCTTTTTGGCCCGTAATTTCTAAAATTTAGAGGCAATTACCCCCAAAATCAATCCCAGCATTCCCTTTGTGATATGGAACCTTGTGGTACAATGTCAGAGAGATCCATACACTAACACACAAGTTATGTCTGGAAGTTACAAAAATGCTTATTTTTGGCCCCTTTTTGGCCCCTTATTCCTTAACTGTTGGTACCATAACCCCCAAAATCAATCCCCACCTTCCTTTTGTGGTATTGAACCTTATGGTAAAATTTCATAGAGATCCATTCACTTAAACTAAAGTTAGAGTGCGAAAACCAATGTGTCTTCGGACGACGACGACGCTGACACCGGACAACGACGACGCCAACGTCATACCAATATACGACCACAAAATTTTTTTGCGGTCGTATAATAAGAGAAATTCCCATCTAATCCCTAGGAAACACCCTGTTTACAAAGACTGTGTGAACACCATCAAAAGTACTTTAAATTGGAAGCTGACATTCAGTAGATGTTGTTTGTTCATGGTTGTCATATTTGTTTTTCACAAATTGTATTGTTACAAATTAGGCCCGGCCTAATTTGTAACAATACAATTCGTGAAAAACAAAGGTCCTGGCCATTAGTTTTCTCTTTTGAATTGTTTCACATTTTTCATGACAGGGCCTTTTAAAGCTTACTATATAGTATGGCTTTTTCTCATTGTTGAAGGCCATACGGTGACCTATAATTTCTAATACTGTAAGTTCATAAATTATTGCGTGTATTTATTATTGCGATTTTGCAATTTTAGAATTAAATGCGATTTTAATTTTTGCGATATTGAGAACAATCCTGTTTAATTCAAATAAAAAATTTCAAAATGCGAGTTTAAATTATTGCGATTATAACACTGTCGCATTTTTCGCAATAATAAAAACATCGCAATAATTTCTGAATTTACAGTATCCATTTCATTTGAATTCTGGTGGATAGTTGTCTCATTTGCAATCATACCACATCTCCTAATTTTTATATTAATGTCTGCTATTAGTTTTGAGATTCTGTCATGTTTAATCCACTTTTGCGATTATCTCCCATTTATAGGGTGGTTTTCTTATACCCATTGTACTGCAAATAATTTATTTTCAAAACACTAATATATTCAAAATTTAATATCAATATATATAACAAGTTTCAAAATAATATTTCTATGCCCACAAACGTGACACTGCATTTATAATTATACCATTTTACAATTTCTCATTACCGTATATCTCATCGGCACTAGTAATGCACCAATATTTATTACTTCTAACAATTTCAAAAAGAAAAAAAAAGAAGCATAATCAATACATGTATAATAATTATTTGATTTCTGGAAAACATAAATATCGCTTTATTTGTTCTGGTAAAGGAAGTTGTTGTACCTTGTATGTCACACCAAATGTTAACTGAGACCTTACAGCTGTACGACACTGTTGTTTCAGTGAAGGTGGAGATTGACGTAAGGAATACATCACTGACCAAAATGCTTGTTGATTTTTAAGCTGGTTCACAATATCAACAAGTCTTGTATTATCACATTCACATTGCCAAATATCTTTACTTATTGGGAAAACAAGACCAAGGCCACTCAAAGTTTTAAGTATTGACAAAAATTTGTTAAAGACCTTATTTACACATCGATCAACACTAATTTGTAATGTGGGTTCAATTTCAAACAAACGTAAAATCGGACTACAGTTAAGAAATTCCTGTAGCATTCTGTTCTTTGTGTAAAATGCAGTAGACAGTCCATACTCTGTAAAAATTTCCTTATAGATCGGTTCAACTTTTGAAGAAAATTCTTGAGAAGAAACAATCTCCAAATCAAGCATTGCTGGAAAGAAAGCTTTCTGTCTGCTACTAGATTGGCCTCTTTCAAAAGGATTAGCTCCATTTTGAAGAAGGTATCTAGTAATATATAAAAAGTCTTCATCAATACGACAACGGAATGACAATGATAAATTTATTCCCTTCTGTCTGACAAGTAAATCTGCAATATCTTCTCTTTTCATTAGCAATGCTATCTGAAGTGGAGTGTTTCTTATATTGTCAAAAACATTCACATCTGACCCTAATGTCAAAAGCTTTTCTACAATCTGGTAACTACCTGTAATAATGGCTTGCATCAGAGGTGTTCTTCCGATTTCAGTTTTAACTTTTATATTTGCTCTACTTTCCATTAACAATTCAACCTGTGGCAAACTTTTCTGTATGCATGCCACATGCAAGGGAGATAATCCATTTTTTGTGCCAAGATTAATGTTGCAGCCTAGTTTAATTAACAATTTTGTCCTTGCAATCTTCTGATCAAATAGGCTGTGTATTAATAAGGATTTCCCTTCAGAATCAACAATATCCATATAACCACCATTCTTTTTATACTCGGTCAGTAGCTGAGCACTTCCATTTCTCAGCGAAGTGAATAGATCCTGCATACTGTTTCTTGAATAACGACTGGTCATTATCTAAACATTTTTTCTCACAGGAGTTATTATCTGGAAGATAATACAAAAAAACATTATTTACCATGCACAAGTATTAAAAACATGAAAAATGATACTCAAGATATAAAGCAGACATGATTTAAAACAGAGGATATGTGAACATCATTCAATATTCAATGTTAACACAACATAAAGCTAATTTTGTAAATTGTTATCTCAACATTACAGTCAAAGATTCTAACCTTATCCACAGCACATCTACTATTGGTGGTGGATAAGTCATACACAGTTTAAATAAACCTGTTACATTGATGAAACTTCTAAGCTTTAAGTAATCCAGACATCTGTAATCAAACTGCTGAGATAAACAGTATGGAATCTACTTTGAATGAAAAATAATGCACACCTTGACAATAATTCAGTTTTAAATGTCTGTCTGTCATCTAAAAAATTAAAAAAAATTAAAACGTCCGTCTGAAAAAGTTTAATATTCCATAAATACTGCAAAGTCATCTATGTTACTGGACTGGATTAGATGGACTACCATTGTTCAGTGTTTTGAAACTGTCATTATAAAACAGACAGAAAAACTGTATGCATGTGATGTCTGGCTTGTAAGGAACTGAAATGTTCAACTTCTGATTCATGGGAAGGGAACAATCTTCTGCTGGCAAGTAAAAGCTTAATCACAACCAAATAGTCTGGGGCTAGTCTCTGATGGAAAATTTGGGGGGATGTGGTGTAGTAATTCACCGTACAAATCATAACACACACTTGACAAAACCCAAAGCAAAGGAGAAGTACTTTTATTGCTGTTAAAATGGGAGGTCTTAGACACATAAAAAAACTTGCATTGCTCAATCAAAATAATAAACTACAAAAGAACAGCTCATGATTATGAAGGTGAATTCATAGAGAATGTGGAGTGTTATCAAGATCTATATAACCTTATTTTTGATTCTATGCCTCAACAAATAATATTGAAAATTACAATGAGAAATCATTTGGCAGACTTATATCATAGTTGACATTAACAAGATGGCACCCATAGACAATTTTTGTAAACGGCCATGTCAACTTTGAAATTAAAGGATCAGGATCAGATCAGTGCCCTGATGCAGTACAGTAGCCAATGTAGAACTTCAAGGGAAATATAATTGTTATAGTGTTTTCAAACCACACATGGTGACACCAATACTGAAAATATCAATCAGTACACATCCAACAGACTTAGTGTAAAGACTTCATAAACAGTCTGAGAAAAGCATGATCTTTTGAAAATAAGTACATAGATCATGTAGATGTAGTTTTGACAGAATGTGGGACCATACATGTAAATGTGTTGGAATTCATTTTTAGTTTTGTTTTAAAATATCAAAAACAAAATCAATGTAAATTAGTACTGATAAACAATATTCAAAGATCTTACTATGTGTTAAATTGATAAGGTTTATTCAACATGTTCAAAGGATCATTGAGTTTACATGGATTGTATCTAAATTAATTGGCTCCATTATCAACAATATCATTGTAAAATTAGGATGTGATATATATATATCCTGTTTGTAATAAGAATTCTACAGGTACAGCCAAACTACCAAATCAAATCTTTGTATCTATGAAAGAAATTGTGGTAACAAAATTCAGACTTAATCATGTGACTGACTTCAAACAGGAGCTTCTTAAAAAGCTAGCATTATCCTTTAACTTCATGTTCCGCTAAAGAGATAATGTCCTCTCACTAAATAATTCTGTTTGGAAACTATGTTAAACGTGTCTTTCCCCTCGAATTTGGAGTAAAGGATACAACAGATACTGTTAAGTCTGCCTCATTTCTTATCTTACATCTAGAAATTGACAATCAGGGTCAGTTGAGAACAAAACTTCAAGACACAAGATGATTTACATGTAAGCTTCCCAATTGTGAACTTTTCATTTCTATGTAGCAACATTACAGTACTGCCTGAACATGGAGTATTTATTTCCCAGTTAACATGGTTAATATGATATTCAAGAGCTCACATTCCCTATAATGAGGGTTACTTGCTGCTTACAAGGTACATGTACAATGTAGCTATTAAACCTAAAGTTTTAAGTGGGGAAGTTGAAATCTCCCCTTCGAAAATTTTACGGACACCATCACTAGTTGGTTAACTGTTATGAAATGTCTGTTTCACAGATGACGACCAATATGGCCATCTGCTTACCCTTTTGACACACCTGAAAGGGGCCAGAGAAACATCACCATCCAAAAATGGAAAATTAACAATAGGAAACAGAAAATCATCTGTCTTTGCATAAACTTTTGTAGAAAGTTTCATCGTGTGACCAGAAATATCCAAATATAGAAAAGGACAATGATTGCTGTTTATTTTACATATACATGTATTAGAATTATTTAAAAAAAGTTCCCTGCAGTATAATTAGACAATTCCTGGTAATTGTTAGTATATATCATTATATATATATATATATATATACTAAACCCAGTTTAAAGCAAAAATATCATCAAAGAATGGTAATTTAAGTGTTCTACAACTTCATCATTGAAATGCAAAGGGACTAAGACCCATCAAACAAGTACTTAATATTATCATATACATGTAATATTATAGTGTTATTAAATTTGTCAATTACCTAAATGGAATTTTAAACAGATGTTTACAGAGTTTGACCTGTGATGCATGACACCACAAGTACAGCAACTAGTCTGCCAAGTTCAAGTGATACAGGGTTATTTTTATGGTAAGGGATTAATTTAGTATAGACATATATGTGTTGGGTCCTCTATTTATGACTACTTATTGTAATAGTTATTAACTATTACACATGTTTACATGTATTACTGTATAAACTGTAAACATGGTAAATGAAGACTGACTGACCTCTCCTTTCTGAATGTAGAGCTCTATAACGTTGCAGGTAGTTGACTTTTATAAAATAAACGTCTGAAATGTATTAGTCCAAGTGTTACCTACATACATGTATTATTGTATATATAAAAGGTGTGCTATATGCTGACAAGCCAGGTGTGTTAAATTACGGATTACGTCCTTTCCCCGCCGGATTCGACATTTATAATGAAAAACAAATTTCCGGTAAATTTTTCTTTCCTCTTGCAGATGCCGATGGCAACAAAATTATTTGAACAAACAAAAGCATGGTAAAAGCAGCTACTTTTCCACATTACCGGCTATACATGCTATCTTTTGTTTCTTCTTGCAAATAATGTGACTGTATCTGTTATATCTCTCCCCAAGACGAGTTGCAGGTAACTTGTGTAAATTACATAATGATTATCGTCGATGATTACAAGTTCTCCTGACATTCGGGATTTTCCACTTAACTCATGGCGTCATGCATGAATATTTATTATCTGCAACGTGATATTCCGGATATCTAACATGACGATTTTTGTTTTATTTTTACCAATTTAAATATAAAAAAAAGTTATGCATTATTTTGGAAATAATTTTTTTAAACATTTGTTTTCAAAATACGTAACTGTTTTTATTTCTGCCAGAATTTCGGTGAGTTCTTTGGAATATCCTTCTAGCAACACTGATGTGGGGGGGGGGGGGGGGGTCTCATCACGATTCACGAGTTGATTTTTTTGTCAATCAAGATTCACAGAAAATAAATTTCCATGATCACGGATCACGAAAATATAAAAAATAATAAATCTGTAGAAAAACGGATCACGATAGCGAAAATGCGCCGATCACGAATAACGAAAATAACCCATCAGGCCCCTCAACACTGTTGGCACCTGGAAGGATGAGTCATCATCTATTTGTAAATTGTAGGCCATGTGATGCTTGTTCCTATTCAACATGTTCAAGGCTAAAGACGTAATTGTTTCAATATATTTAAATAATTTAATTTTGGATGTAACACGTCTTCTAATTGGCTGACGTTTTTTTGTTTATCAGCTCATAGACATAATTTTGTCATGTGACCGTGACGTCATCAACGTTTTCTCATGGTTTACTCAGGTTTAAAATGGAATTAAGAATTAAATTATAAGAAATGACTGTAATATTTTTTCTGTCTATTCGAAATAACATAAAAAATTTGGTGCACACTTTAAAATAACCCGCTACGCGGGTTATTTATTGTGCACTACATTTTTGATGTTATTTCTTCATAGACAGTCATTCCTTAAGTAAACAGATTTTTTACATCAAAAAGTGTTTATAAACAATAAAAAAAAAAACTAAGATAAGCAAGTAAATAGTAAAATAATTTGAATGAAAACTTTATGCAAAAATATTTGTACATAAAAATGTATGCTTCAATTTCCTTTCATTTGAATTTTGTAAAAAGTCGTTTAGTTACATCAGGAACATATATATTGACGGGACTTGACACTACCTAATTGTAGCAGATTTTATCGTCGGGTCATAGTTAATAAAGAGATGATACGGAAACGGAGATGTGTTAAAAACGTACTCACTATTATCCTAATAATTTCTGATAATATCAATAAAATGTCTTTCAAACATAGTTTTAAAGTGATGCCAGTGTATCAAACTTGTTATCTGTCACTTCAAATTTGTTATAATCGAATTCATTTCATCACAGAATGCAAACAGGGTAATAAAAAAATGGTGCCAATTGCATTCACAATTTCTCACACCATTTTAAAACACTTCACATCAAATAAATCACACTTATTTTGGTCATTTAATATGACAAAATATATCTACTTTATGATTAAACGTGTATCTATTTACGATTAGAATTATGTGGTTAATTTATTGCGCAGTTCCGATAGTTTTTCAGTCAGATGCTACCAAAATCCATAAATCTCGCGAAGTCTCGTGGAGTCAGAGATTTTATCAATTTTATACTGAAAAGCCTATCAGATTCATTTACTGTTAGATATACTGTTCCCAGGTTACATGTATGTTTTAAATTCGTCTTGGACTTTCCAATTGACCATTGGAATTAAAATGTTACACAGGTTGGGGACAACCCACCAAATCAAGAACTATTCCCCAAAAGAGTATGACAATCCCTCATTTGAGTTATCATTTGATAGTGCTAAAACCAAAATTTCTTAACTGGGTCTTTTTACTTAAAATGGCACAAATTTATAGAAAATGGAACAACTTCTTCCAAGGAACCATATTTTTATTGTGGGTTTTTAAAAAGTTAGAAGCCTTGAAAAAATTCCATTTTTCGAAGTTTCCATATAGGCCTGTAACTTCTCAGTAAATCAGGTTAGGGCTATTCATCTTTTGGAAAATTTGCTGCATTTTTTATGAGTATATGCCATTTTAAGTAAAAAAACCTTGGTTAAGAAAATTTCATTTTTAATTCTATCAAACATGTCAAATGATTACTCAAATGAAGGATTGTTACTCATATGGGGAATAGTTCCCCATTTGGCGGGTTGTACCCAACCTGTTAAAATTGGAATAATTGTTGTGGAAAGAAAACACAAACAAGCAAGTCCCAATTTTATTTTTTTCTAAAATTTTTATTTTTTGTCACTAGATCGCAAATTTATTTTTAAGCATTGAAATTAATAATACAATAGGTTCTGCTGCACATGCCTAACAAAACATCCTCCATGAAAAGGTCATGTACTTGCAAGCATGTCAACTTTCATTACAGAATTTGGGTCACAATATGAAAAGATAAGCAGAGTAAATATATTTCTCAAGCTCCTCTCCCGTAAAGGGTATCAGACTATTTACAAATGAGTAAATGATATTTACATGCACAGTGAATAATATTTGCTTCTGGGTTGTGATTGTTTTCTTTCATTTTTGATTGGGTAACAAACTTTCAATCATAAAGGATCAGACCTGTCAACTATCCCTATTTTGGCGGTATCTTCCCGATTTTCATGCCTCATCCCGATATCGATATCGTAAAACAAGTCAAAATCCTTATTTTCACAAAATCTACCAGAAAAAAAATTGTGGGTTATCGATTTGAAGTTTTTCTGATCAACTTCTGTAAATCTATGATTTTACCTGGCGACATATTTATGACAAGTTTATGACCCCAGCTAATCAACGGTTACAACAGGTGTCATAATTTGTTGTTACAGGTAATCTGCTTATCGGATGATCCTCAAAATTAATTAATTTGATAAATAGAATCGGTCAGTTGGCATTTCAATTTTAATCTATCATACAATCACAATTTGCAATGTTTACCGTAGTATCATGACAAAAACGTAATTAATTGAAAGACGAAAACTATAATGAATTCATTAAAGTACATCTTGAAATCCTGACAATTTTTGAAATCCGACATGGTTTTTGTCAAGTCTCTGATTTAAAATCGACGCCATATTGTATTCACTTCTACTGTGTATAAGGTAACAAGAGCGCAATTATTTGTTTACATTTTACCGGCAAGTTTTTTACCCCAAGATGGTACTCAGAATAGAATCCTATACGGCTTCTGATTGGATTATACAGGATTGGAATTACATTTAATCGAAAGCTTATCCAATTAGGTTTAAAAAATGCAGAAAATCATATTCATATTTTACAAAGTGTAGAAAATATCTTCCATTTCTGCACGTCAGAGTCATTAAAAATATGCCTTTTTCATTAAGCGAAAAAAATAGACGATCTTTTTCAACTGCATTTTAAGTCAATTTTTGCCGCATGACCATATATATTTTTTTAGTTGTAATACAACACTGGCATTTCTAGTAACAGGAACTGCTACCCGTTTTTCCCTAATTTGTGTAGTCCTCGAGGAAAAAAATACGGAACACCAGTGGTACCCTATGGAAAATGCATTACGAATAATTGCGCTCTTGTAACCATAAGCCTCTGCCGGTAGGAGCACCTTTGAATACAAAGAAAGATAACTCAAATTTTATCCATTTTCTCATCACTGACATTTTTTTTGGTTTAAATGTTGTACAAATGTACTAACATACCTCATGTGGGGGCTTTAGTGAAATAAAATGTCTTACGTCTTATGACAAACTAACTTAAGATCTGTCTCCATCCTTCTAACTTTAGGACATTTAGGTTTAGGTCTTTTGAGTCATGGTGCAAAGATAAAAAGGTCTTAGGGGGGGAAAGGGGGTCTTCATTTTGTATCCTTTATTTTTTAAGGCCATTTTTCTCGGGTGTGTCTAATCACTGCTAAGGACTGATTAGTGCACTAAGGACCTATAATATGCCACTAAGGACTAGAAGGTATGCTATAACATGTAAACAAATTTCATATTTTGGTAGATATTAATATTTAATGCATAAATTCTAAATTTTATAGAAAAAGAACCACAAATAAATGAGTAATTTTTACAATGTTTAGGCACCTGTCAGTTCTTCTTTGATATTGCTGAAAATCAATGAACCATTACACATGTGTCAAGTTACATAATCGATTACACTATTATCTGTATAGAAAAAAAACTAAAAAAAATATTTGCATAAGAAAACAAACAGACATTAGATATGTTTACCATTTGAACACTTTGGGGTTTATTATTGTTTTTTTTTAATTCAACATTTATTGTTCAAATCAAAATTATACATTAGTTAATTTAATGAAAGGCCCGACTGCCATAAACAACTGATATCAAACAGAGTGTTTTTTTTAAGGAAAGAAATAAGATTGTCCCCAAAAATAGCCCCCCCCCCCCCACATGATTAGTCATTGCCTAAGAGTGGGGGTAGGGTTTACATTTAGGGCATGGGCACAAATGGCAATTGCCATAAACAATTGATTTCAAACAGTGGATACAATATTTGATATGTAAAGCAGATGAGGAAAGACACAAAATGATTTCACTGAATAACAACTACCACAAGATACTCAATGAATTTATCAAAATATTGAAACCTTTTTCTGGACAAAAACAAATTTAGTATATTACTGTACAAACAGACGACAGACTCAAAATATGGATGCAATTCTTGCTTTTATTGGTTATTTCATTTTTTAGTGCAATATTTGGTTTATTGTTTATTGGTTGATTAAAGTCCAGTGACAAATAGTTCATGCATATTCAGGACGAGAAGTCATTTAAGAAATAGATTATGAAGAAATAAGCATTACCAAT